ATATATATATTTTGATACAAACACGAACACATGGTCATAAACAAAATGAGCTCATCCTTGAGCTTCAATATCCCAAAGGCTTTGCCTTCTCTTCCTCGATGCAAATTCCACCCTCTTTCCACTCCATTAAATAAAAAACAACCCCGTATCTTCACGCCGCACAAGTCGTATGTAAGTTCAACTATCATAACTTATACAGTTATCCCAATTATACTGTAAGTCTGTTAACTGTATCTTCCAACTCGTTACAGAAACTCACAATTGTGAATCAGAAAAAAAGTGACGACGGATTCACTTTGAACAAATCCCATTTAGCAATCCAAGTTGGAGCACTTTTAACAACTGTAGTAAGTTTTCATTATCGTTCACTGTAAAGTCAACATGTTTGACTATTGTTGATCTGATTGATGTGAGAACAACAGATTGTTAGTGAACCGGCTTTTGCGTTGACCGGAGTAAACGATGAAGAGGATATTGTGTGGGTGTTGATACAATTAGCCATATCTGCATTCTTCTATTTTCTAGTGGCACCAGTAAGTGAAAAATGAAAAGGAATGATTTTTTTTTCTTATTTATTTATTTTTTATCATTTTTGTGGATAAGTGGTTTGAGTGGTTGGAATTTATTTGTAGCCATTTATCATGAATTGGTTGAGGACAAGATGGTTCAAGAGAAATCTTTTGGAAATGTATGTGCAATTTATGTTTGTCTTCCTGTTCTTCCCGGGGTTAGTTCTCATTCTCCTTTTTTATTGTGTTTTAATGCGTTTTTGTACTTTTTTATAAAATTAAATAATCAAGAAAAAATATGTTGATATCACAAATGGGTATAAAACTATCTTTTTTTTGCAAAACACAATTGATTTTAAACTAGAAAGTTTTGTTAACGTCTCGTTTCACTACTTGCTTTTTGATATTACTTTTTTTTTTAATATTTGTGAAAAAATAAATAGTTTGTTACCCATTTGGTCATTTATGACACTTACCTTTTCTTTTAAATGGTGAAAAAAGTTATGTAACAAAATGGTTAAAATGATACAGGGTGTTGCTGTGGGCCCCATTTTTGAACTTTAGGAAATTCCCGAGAGATCCGGAGATGAAGTACCCTTGGTCTATCCCCAAAGATCCTTCTAAAATTCGTAATAACTATAAAAAATTCCCTTGGGCTACCATTGATGATTATGAAGTATAAATTGTGCCCTTCATTTGTTATGTATCATAATAATAACACACATTTTACTCCACTTTTTTTTTATGTTTTTAAGTATATAATGCACACAACCAACTCATATTGCAATTATTACGCATTCAATTTGGTCTGAATGTGCAAAAGACGTAAATACCCCACCCCACCCATCATTGAAACAAACAGAATAACATGAATTCAAGATATCAAAGCCGAACAACTTTAATAAACCTTAAAGTTAAAGTTAACATCCACCTCAACCAAAAAAGAAAAAAAAAAAAACAATTAAAAACATGTTTGATCTTTATCTATTTCTAAGAAAAGGGAAAACTTAAATAAAAAGCAACTCGTTCTCTTTTTTTTTTTCTAAACCAAGGGTATTTTCGTCTTTTTTTAACCGCACGTTAGGGGATTCCGGGGGGTTGTGTGTTGTTAAGTAGAGTAGTGGATGTTGAGCATGGAGGGTATTTTGGTCAAATCCAAAGATTCGAGGGCGGTTGGAGGGGTAAAAGCGACCGCGACACCAATGGCAATGACAATTAGGGCCATACCTTTGACACATCCCCAGCCACGTGATAGTCTTCCCAGTAAAACTCTACAGTATTTGTCTGCTTCTTTGTAGAGTCCTTGTTGGCCTTCAGATATTTCGCCATCTGTCAAGGCTTTCTCATTCTGTATACACAAGGGTAAAATGGTCATTGTGTAGATACAAGTTAAACAGATCAGATAAACACCGATATATGCTAATGATAATATTTATCAAATCAAAATTTAAGGTAAAATACTAAAATCGTTATATCGACTGTTTTACATAAAGGGTAAAATGGTCATTGTGTAGACATGAGTGATAATACTTATCTAATTAAAATTTCAGGGGTAAAATGGTCATTGTGTAGACACGAGTTAAACAGAGACCAGATAGGCACCAACATACTCTTAATAATAATAATAATAATAATAATAATAATAATAATAATACTTTTCCACTCAAAATTCAAGGGTAAAATGGTCATTTTGACCATTTTACGTAAACGGTATAAATAAAATAGAAAGTCACTGTGGAGACATGCCCCAACAATAATAATTTATCCAATCAAAACTCGAGAGCAAAGGAATCATTCTGAAACATCATAGGGGTATTTATGTAAAGTTGGAAATTCAAGGGTAAAATGGTCATTTTGACAAAATTATGCGACTCTTTGGCTGGGGTCTGAAAATGAATTCAGGGTGAAAAAAAAATATCATGCGAGTGGCTTGACTCTTGAGGGACCAAAGTTGAAATATTATTTAGATGGAGGGACTAAAGTTGTAATAAATGAGAAATAGGAGTAGATGTAATAGTAATAGTAATACCATGTTCTTGAAACTTCTGAGGGTTTCAGTTAGAGTGTCTAAAGAAGATTGTTTTACAGAAAGGTCCTTCCACTTCTCAGCAATCCTTTTCAGAATCACAACACTTGCTTCTAAATTATCCTCATAAACCTTCTCCTGCAAAAATATATAAACTTTTCATAAGAATCAGAAAATTATAAACTTTTATTTTTAATAATAAAAACAGTTTATACAGACAAAACTCACCCATAGTTTATAAGAATCAGGATTTTGAGTTAAACACCAGATGAAAATACCAGAAGCTTCATTGGATAACTCTGAGATTCCTGCCAAAAAGCAACATTAAGAAAAGTTAGTGTTTTGTCTAGAAATGACAAAAATACCCTTGTAACATAAATATTACCTTCTCCAGCAGCTTTTAAAGAAACTGTCATGATTTGTTGAGAAACTTGTTTCATGGCTTTGCTTCCAGGTGAACCTGCAAGTGCCACCTCTTTGAGTGTAGGATACACTGCTTCAAACCTTTCAGTTGCCTACACGATTAAATAATTAAAATAATATAAATATATAA